AAGTCTCTTCTGCTCACTAAGGCTACATTTATTTGACAAAACAAATACAGTAAAATTGTGAAATATTATTACCATTTAAAATAGCTGAATTTTCAGCATCATTACTTCAGTGTCACATGATCCTTCAGAAATCACTGATTTGCTGCTCAAGAAACATTTCTGATTATTATCAGTGTTGAAAACAGTTGTGCTGACGAATACTTTTGTAGAGTAATGATGCTAAAAATTTGAGTTTGCATAACAGTAATTAATTACATTTTTTACAGTACATTCAAATAGAACAATTATTTTAAATGTAAATAATATTTCATTGTTTCTACTGTATTTTTGATCAAATAAATGCAGCCCTGCTGAGCAGAAGAGACTTCTTTCAAAAGCATTCAAACTCCTCATTATTCCAAACTTTTGACCAGTCGTGTAAATCATTTCTTGCACCTGAAACAAACACACACCAACCTCAATAAAACAGCAGAAATTAGTCTTGGCTGCCATACTGGAGAAGGAATCACACTGACACACACGTATAGATGTTATTTTACGCTGTTATATGATAACCTCCGTAAATTAACAGTTGTGTGTATTGTGTTTTTGAAGCCCGTCGAGAGAGTTAGCTGGATTAGACGGCGATCAGTCTCAACGCAAACACGCTACCAGACACAAGTTTGGACACACTTGAAGGAATTCATGTTTGGCAGAAATTTGTATTATTGACCAATAAAAAAAATGTGCTTACATATGAATTTGCGTGATTTGTAGTGGATAGTGAAGGACTATCTAAACAAAAAAGAAGCTCTAATATAAGAAATAATGACATGTTATGATCACATCATCATTCCCAGACTTCCATCTGTCTTTATTAATGAACAGCTGGCAGGTGTATCCAAACTTTTGACAGGTTGTGTAGTTCATAAACTCAATACACAGTCTGATCCAGCGGACAAAAGCTCAAAGCACAACACACACACACACACACACATGCACAGTAGCACACAAACTCATCTCACAAAGACTCACTGCGGCAATCGTGTGTGTGTGTGATGGTTTGTATGCCACTAAATATAGCGCAACATGAATCAAACACACAGCTGGGGTGTCAAAGATAAAAAAACATGACCCACCTATAGTACCGGCCAAAAGTTTGGAATAATTATGATTTTTTAATGTTTTTGAAAGAAGTCTCTTCTGCTCACTAAGGCTACATTTATTTGACAAAACAAATACAGTAAAATTGTGAAATATTATTACCATTTAAAATAGCTGAATTTTCAGCATCATTACTTCAGTGTCACATGATCCTTCAGAAATCACTGATTTGCTGCTCAAGAAACATTTCTGATTATTATCAGTGTTGAAAACAGTTGTGCTGACGAATACTTTTGTAGAGTAATGATGCTAAAAATTTGAGTTTGCATAACAGTAATTAATTACATTTTTTACAGTACATTCAAATAGAACAATTATTTTAAATGTAAATAATATTTCATTGTTTCTACTGTATTTTTGATCAAATAAATGCAGCCCTGCTGAGCAGAAGAGACTTCTTTCAAAAGCATTCAAACTCCTCATTATTCCAAACTTTTGACCAGTCGTGTAAATCATTTCTTGCACCTGAAACAAACACACACCAACCTCAATAAAACAGCAGAAATTAGTCTTGGCTGCCATACTGGAGAAGGAATCACACTGACACACACGTATAGATGTTATTTTACGCTGTTATATGATAACCTCCGTAAATTAACAGTTGTGTGTATTGTGTTTTTGAAGCCCGTCGAGAGAGTTAGCTGGATTAGACGGCGATCAGTCTCAACGCAAACACGCTACCAGACACAAGTTTGGACACACTTGAAGGAATTCATGTTTGGCAGAAATTTGTATTATTGACCAATAAAAAAAATGTGCTTACATATGAATTTGCGTGATTTGTAGTGGATAGTGAAGGACTATCTAAACAAAAAAGAAGCTCTAATATAAGAAATAATGACATGTTATGATCACATCATCATTCCCAGACTTCCATCTGTCTTTATTAATGAACAGCTGGCAGGTGTATCCAAACTTTTGACAGGTTGTGTAGTTCATAAACTCAATACACAGTCTGATCCAGCGGACAAAAGCTCAAAGCACAACACACACAAACACACACACATGCACAGTAGCACACAAACTCATCTCACAAAGACTCACTGCGGCAATCAATAGTGAATTCTTCCTTAAATCTTGCTGTGGACAAATTAGAAACAGCTGCATTATGACTGATCTGAGATCATGTTAGTGCGCAGTGGTGAAAAAAAAGTGCAGGTACTCTAAAGGCTAAAATATAGAAGTACTTCAAGCACTGATCAGTGGATGAAAAACTAGAATAGTAGTCCCACTGTTAAAAGGACAATTTAGACACTTTGCAGATTGCACATTTTGTATGGAATAATAATAATATTAAAATATGCATAAAATTAACTCAAATTATTGTATTATTATTATTATTATGAAAATATGCATAAAATTATTTATGCATAAATAATAATTTAATTATTTTCTCAATTTAGACACTTTGCAGTTCAAATATCACATTAATTGTATGGAAGAAATAACAAAAAAAAATAATTTAATTAAAAACATTATTTTCTAAATTTAGACACTTTGCAGTTCAAATACCACATTTTGGATAGAAGAATGAATTAACAAATAATAAAACTAGTTAAAAATAATTAAAAATATTTACTTAGTTTTTATTTTTTTTATTATTATTTTCAATTTAGACACTTAGAATAACAGCTAAAATAACACATTTTTTGTATATAAGAATCAATTAACAAATTATTAAAATTAGTTTTAAAAATATTTAAATAAACATAAAATTTTATTTAAATAAAATGTTAATTATTTTCTCTATTCAGACACTTTGCAGTTCAAATAACACACTTTTGTATGATTTTTTTTTACCAAATTATTAATAATGCATAAGAAATGTATTTAAAAAGATTGTATTATTTTCTGTGCTTATTAACATGTCTCTAATGCTATCAATAGAATATAACTTGTACTGACTATGCTTCATATGACACGACTCACATTAAACTGATGGTCACATGACCTGATAATCTGCTGCATTACTAAAACATGTGACCAGGTCCTGTATGCAGGACAGCAGGTGTGAGGGGCTGTGATGCTTCAAACTCTGAAGCATGTGTTCATCTGTCATGATTTCATCTAGAAGCATCAATCCCTCTTTGTCATTTAATCTGCGAGCGATGAGCATCAGCACATGGGCATCACGCTACGAGTATTACATTAACCCAGTTATGTCCGTCTGGGAGAAAATATGAGGGTTTAACTCTTCTCAGCGCAATGAAGGATCTCTCCTGATGAACTGAAGGCAAGTGAACATCAAGACACTGAAGTTTGCTATGAGTTTACTATCAGCCTCATCATGAAACGACAGCACAATGAATCTATGCTCAAATCTTACACAGATCTGCACAGATATGATGCAAGAATGGTTTGTTATATATAACTTGCACAGATATGATGCAAGATGTTTATATAGAAATCAGGCAGTAATTGTATTCCTGTAGTAACGCCACGGTCATGGGTTCAGTTCCCAAAGGGATGAAAGTCCAATAAAACCATCTGCCAAATGCATAAAGGCAAATATAAATGCATTAATGCAACGCTTAGTTTTTCGAAATTCATTCTACTCTTGTCTTTTTGAATGAAGCTGATTGGAACTGACTTTTCCTACACTCTTAAAAATAATGCTTCACTGGTGATTAAAAATGCTCTAGAGCAGTGCTTCTCAACCATGGGGCATCAAAACTATGTATGTATTTATTTATTTGATTTGTTTAAAATCAGACGAACAAGTATTAAAATAAGTTTTCGTTGTATAGAATCAGGATTCCCACAGTCTTGGTGTGTGAGGAAGTGAAGTGTGATGGCTATATCTGAAATAATCACGAAAAATAATAAAATATTTAAAATGGCATGAGCAGCTTTTATACATTTTTTCTAGCTCTAAAATATGAAGTAGAAATTGTGAATAAAAAAAAAAAACTTCAGGAATCATGAAAAAAATTTTTTTTTTTACTTTTAACTTTTTATTTTATTTTAGTTATTTCAGTTTTATTATTATTTTTTTTTTTTACATAAACTATGCCCATACTTTAAAAAAAGTTTTGAAGACCAAACTACCAAGGGCTTAGGGGTCCATTCAATATTGCTGTGAACAATGGAGTCAGAAAGGTTGAGAATCACTGCTATAGACGTCGCAAACATTCTCCATCGTCTGGATGTGAATTAATTGTGTTTGGCATCACTGACGTCAAACCGGCTGATGCAGCACGTTTGAATCAACTGAGTTCTGCTTTAGACAAAGCTTTTAATGACTTCAGAAGACATGTGAAGTACTGTTATTACACTTTTACGGTGATTTTTGATGTTTTGCATTCAACTAGAGTTCATTGCATTGAAAATATCAGTGTAAATATTTCACCTAACGTCTCATTTTGTGTTCACAGAAGAGGTTGGTTCAATGGTTCAAAACATCACGAGTGAGATGTTTTTAGGTGAAATATTCCTTTTGAAATTTTTTAGAGTGCAGGTTGTCAAAGTCAGTCAGTGTCACTTTCGCAAGACTTTGTCACGTCCCTTTAACTTTGAGCGAGCAAACACTTCAACTTCAAAAACTTTCGGGAGTTCAACTTTGCTAGATAAAGCACATTGCATCAGACCAACATCAACAGCTTCCTTCAAAAACCGTCCTTGAGCAAAGTGTTTTATCTGACGTGCCAATGTCTCACGGTGATGTTTGTCTCGCCATCAGAGATGTTAAAGTGTGAATCGTATCGTTTAGAGCAGAAGGACAAACAGGTCAATGTCTCAATCTCAAACCCAAAACACTAAAAGCATCACAGTGAATCTGTATGTCTCCAGAGAGTCTGTCCAGCTCATGAACAGCCAGACACGTTCACGTCATTGCTATACCCAAAGATGCGTCTTACCTGAGTGACTTTCTCGGTGACGTTGTGCGTGCGGTCGATGAGTTTGCAGGGTGCGATGATGTCCATTTCTCCGGCCGGGAGGGAGATGAGAGGGTCCGGTTTAAAGTCCACAAAGTTGAGCGTGATCTGTGGGATTTTACTGATGGTGCGGTAACGCATCAGATCCGAATCAGAGGTAGAGTTCAGGATGCTGAACTTGTTGTTCATGGCACCTGCATAAAGAAAGGTTGCTGAAAATCTTCTGTTTGCTCTGAAATGCTTTTGACATTTACAGTATGTGTTACCAAATCATATCTGTACCTATGGGATTGGTAAGATTTTTTAAAGGGGTCATCGGATGCTCATTTTGCACAAGTTGATATGATTCTTTAGGGTCTTAATTAAAAGTCTATAACATACTTTGGTTAAAATTTCTCAATGTTAGTGTAAAAACACCTTTTAAAATCAAGTAGATTAATAAAACATTTTACATAGCATGAGCATTTTTTTTAATAATGATTATATATACTTTTTTTTTTTTTACAAGCTCTAAAATATCAAGTGGAAATTGTGAGAAAAAAAACTGAAATCTAATAATAATAATAATAATAATAATGAATACTTATAAATAAATAATACTTTTTATTATTATTACTGCTGTTAACTTCTTTGTTTTTATAATTATTTTAATAAATTTATTTATTTTATTTTATTTTAATTTACAGAAACCATGTCCATAATTTCAATAATTCATAATTTCAATGTTGTTGTGGACAATGGAGTCAAAAAGGTTGAAAAGCATTGCAACAGACGTCCATTACGTTCTCCTTCTGTATGTGAATTAATTGTGTTTGGCATCATTGACGTCAAACCGGGTGATGCAGCATGTATGAATAAACTGTGTGAATGCAAATGAGATACACAAAGCTTTCAATGACTTCAGAAGACATGTGAAGTACTGTTATTACACATGATGATTCTGATGGTTTGCATTCAACTAGATTTCAATGCATTGAAAAGATCTGTGTAAACATCTTGCCTAGCATCTCATTTTGTAATGGTTCAAATAACCATAATGGTTCATGAGTGTGACATTTTTGAGTGCAATATTCCTTCTGAAACATTTATTTTTAAGAGTGCCGGTTGTCAAAGTCAGTCCGTGTCACTTTTGCAAAACTTTACTGTCACGTCTCTTTAACTTCCTGCATTCAAACACTTCATCTTCACAAACACAGCAGTTTAGGGAGTTCAGGTTTGCCAGATAAAGCACATTACATCAGACCGACATCAACAGCTTCCTTCAAAAACCGTCCTTGAGCAAAGGCGCTTTATCTGGGGTGCCAAAATCTCACGGTGATGCTTTTCTCGCCATTAGAGACGTTAAAGTGTGAATCGTGTTGTTTAGAACAGAAGGACGAACAGGTCAATCTGTCTCAATCCCAAAACCCAAAACACCAAAAGCATCACTATGAATCTGGATTGTCTGTCTAGCCCAACATGTTCAATTCAATCCTATACAAACGCTTTCTTGAACTCAACACAAGGCTCCTGGGCAGAAGCGTCTTACCTGAGTGACTTTCTCGGTGACGTTGTGCGTGCGGTCGATGAGTTTGCAGGGTGCGATGATGTCCATTTCTCCGGCCGGGAGGGAGATGAGAGGGTCCGGTTTAAAGTCCACAAAGTTGAGCGTGATCTGTGGGATTTTACTGATGGTGCGGTAACGCATCAGATCCGAATCAGAGGTAGAGTTCAGGATGCTGAACTTGTTGTTCATGGCACCTGCATAAAGAAAAAATCTTCTAAATCTTCTGTTTGCTCTGAAATGCTTTTGACATTTACAGTATGTGTTACCAAATCATATTGGGATTGGTGGGATTGGTAAGATTTTTTAAAGGGGTCATCGGATGCTCATTTTGCACAAGTTGATATGATTCTTTAGGGTCTTAATTAAAAGTCTATAACATACTTTGGTTAAAATTTCTCAATGTTAGTGTAAAAACACCTTTTTAAACCTGTCAAAATTAGCTCTGTTTTTATCATTAAATGTTAAGGAGCTCTGCTGGCCCCGCCCCTCTCTTCCGAGCTGCTCTCAGAGAGACTGTTTACTTTAGCCGCATTCATCGTGAAACTTGCTAATTAGCGCATTATTAGGAAAGGTGATTTGCAAAGATTCATAAAAAAATCCTTATACTCACTTCTTCTGTAGATGAGGCTAGATCACGAATGATTCGAGCGAACATAGATGCATTTAGGCTGATCGGGAGTGGCGCATTCACTTCAAAGCTAAAGTAACGTTAATCCTCTGTGTCTTCAGCGGCTCAGATGTCGGGAGTAAATGACGATTGCTATATTCATTATTACATCCAAC